TTTTTCTTTTTCTTTTTCTTTAACATGTGCAAAACTTTTCAGGGATATACCCAGTGGTGGAGTTCAATTTTTTTACTACAGTTTCTGTGGGTGTGGCAGGGAAAGGATATGTAAAATCTCAATTCCCTTCCACAGAATAAAAGCTTGGGGTATACCCAGAGGTGGTATTCAGCAGGTTCTGACCAGTTCTGGAGAACTGGTAAACACCACCTCTGAATGGCCCCACTCCCATCTATTCTGTGCCTCCTGAGTCCCAGCTGACTGGGAGGAATTGGGGATTTTGTAGTAACCTTTCCCTGGAGTGGGGAGGGAATTGAGATTTTACATATCCTTTCCCTGCCACACCCACAGAAACTGTAGTAAAAAAATTGAACCCCACCACTGGGTATATCCCTGAAAAGTTTTGCACATGTTAAAGAAAAAGAAAAAGAAAAGAATGGGGTCTGGACTGCAAAGTGTGAAAAACCACCAGATGGCAATAAAAGGGAGCAAAAATTGCTATCTTTTTGCTGCCATCAAAGGTCTGTAAGATCAACTACCTCTAGTTTTCATAGATAAATGTTCTTGAATCATGGACTGATAACTACACCTTGCAAAATCCTCCTCTTTGACTAAGGTTAAAGTTATAGGAACTAATCTCTTAGAATATAATATATTTTTTTAAATTGGATTCTGCTTTTTATAAAACAATTATTGGGAGGGGGCAGGAAAGTAATAAATATCTATACACCTCCCAAAGTCACTTTGGGGAAACAGGCAAGTGTATAAATTGTCTAAATAAACAAAAAGTCTGCATCTTTGCTACCATTTAGTGGGGCGCAGATTTTTATGTACCCCACTTAACCAATTTCTTAGGTAAGATCTGTGACAAATCCAAGGATACAGAACTTTTTCTTAAATAAACAAAGACAAAAGATACCAAAAGATTTATATATGGGATATATCGGATCCATGTAACCAAACATTTGCCAATCAAGAAAAAGCAGTAGTTTATCAGTCACTAGCAATGAAGTATTTGTGTTATTTGGACTGACAGCCCAGTCATGTGTAGACAAACTATAAAATATTTAGTATGGTAGGTTTTTTTTGTTTTTCAACCTACCTGCAAATGCTGGGCATTGTCTGTCATACTGTCTTCACGCCTCCGAACTTCTTCTAGCAATTGGGCATTCTTCTTCTTTTCTATTTGTTGATTGTGCTTCAGGTTGGCCACCTTCTTGTTTTGATCCTTCATGTGTCTAAGAATAATATGCATAGGCTTGTTAAGTCTAATGGGCCTAGTAACAATGTAAGAGAGCAAATGTATAAACAACAGTATAAAGCTTATCATCAGGCAGAACTGTTTCATTACACATTCTAGGGTATGTGTCTATGACACAGGAAGTCAATGAAAAGTCAGGGTGATTCATGGCAAATACTGAATGATACTGCAGATTAGACATGCATGAAGCAATCTTTAAGACATAAATTCAGTATTTCGTAGTTTAGACTAGCTTATTTTAGACATGAAAACTCCAAGTATTTTTATTTTATTTTATTTTGTCAACTGTGTATTAGACAACATATATAAGCATAAACATGATTTTGGATACATGAAATGGATACGAATAAAAAGAAACATTAAGACAGAAACATTAGGACTTATGGTGCACTTATGCACGCCCTTTACAGATCTCTTAGGAATGGGATGAGGTCGACTATAGACAGTCTAAGATTAAAGTTTTGGGGGTTTGGGGAAGAAACCAGCGAGTCAGGTAGAGCAGTGTTTTTCAACCACTGTGCCGCGGCACACTAGTGTGCCGTGACATAGTGTAAGGTGTGCCGTGGGAAAAACACCTTATATATAGTCAATATAGGCACAGAGTTAATTTTTTTTAACATTTTCTAATGGTGGTGTGCCTCGTGATTTTTTTCATGAAAAAAGGTTGAAAAACACTGAGGTAGAGCATTCCAGGCGTAGAGCACTCTATTGCAGAAATCATATTCTCTGCACTCAAATTTGGAGCGGTTTACCTTAAGTTTGTATTTAGTGTGTGCTCGGGTATTATTGTGGTTGAAGCTGAAGTAGTCATTGACAGGTAGGACATTGTAGTGGATAATTTTATGTACTATGCTTAGATCAGACCGAAATTGTCTAAGCCCAAAATTTCAAGTCTGGTGGCATAAGGTATTCTGTTGAGAGCAGAGGAGTGGAGGACTCTTTGATTGTATTAATGTCTGATATGCAGTGCAGAGTTCCCCATCTCTATTTTCAGGACTAAATTTTAAAACAGGGATCATAACATTTCATTTCTTGTGCAAATCAAGGGTTCTTGGTTTTACAACTCTACTATTTGATTGTCTGCCTGGACTGAAATGTCTAGGTTGTACACTTAGCTATTCTCAGAAGGCTTGGTTCCCCTTTTAAAGTCTCTGGGTAAATTAAATCATCCATTCAAAAATTGTTTTCCATGCCAAGAGTTTATTCTAAAAATTAGTTCCAACCTAAATTGATTCAAAAATACATCCCAACATTAATTTCAGAAACAAAATTAGTCCACCACAACTTAAGAATCATGTCTGTGCATCCAGAAAAGCCCACATATGACCAATTAAAACTTCTCAACGATGATAAGCAATTATTTAGCTTTATTTTATAACTGACTAATTACTATGAAAGGCTGCAGAAGAAATGTGAGAACATAGCTGTTATCTGCTTGAGTTCTTAGATATTAATTTATTTGACTCTCTCACGATTCTGAGGAATTTTTTTCTTTTTATCTATACTATATAATAATAGTCATGTGCAAATTCCAAAAGAGATTTGCACACTAATCTTTTTTGGCAAAAGAAAGGATATTTTCTAATGTCCATAAGATCATGCAAAGTTTTTAAAGGATTTGGTGAGATGGAGGCAGTATGTATGACTGTAGGTTTTATTTTAAAATGTTATTTCCTTGTGAATATTTAGTAAGTAAAATGTTATATCCTTAGATATTTATTTCAGAATAATAGTATAAATTATACTGATAGTGGAAAAGCTCCCTAATGGTTCTAAGCCAAAAAAGAAAAGCCCCCAAGAACAATCCTGGAAAATAAATATTACTAAGTCCACTTCGCATAGGAAAGTAACTACCATTTTACAATCTACAACCAGTTTTGTAATTGATATGACGAAATATGATTCATATAGTTATAATGTAGAAAAGAATGTCATGTTTTCTATATCCAGTGAAAAAAATATAGAAAATGGATGGGAGATCCAAAAACATAATTTGCACAATAACAATATTAATTGTTCTTTGAGTATTTCTTTCCCCTCCTTTTACTGCAACTATAACTGAAGTTTTTTAAAACTGTTCAATTGAGTTATAATTTTTAAGTGTTTTTGAACCATTTTGGGACATTGTTCTCCAATTACTCTAAAACGAGTTCCCACTGAACTCTTCTCTTAAAAACATATTATTTATATTATTCAGAAAACCTATTAGTCTCAGCTCATGGATGCTTCTATCAGAGAACTGGATTGATTGACTGATTATGTGCCATCAAGTCAGAGCAATCACACAAATAGATTTTTCCCAAGGACAATCTGACTGGCCCTTTAAGTCTCCCATATGTGCACCCAATATGGAGATTAAAACGATGCTGGGAACATGTCCATTTCCTTGCTGTGCATTCTTTGCTCACTGTGATTCTTGCCTTAATTGCTGGACTTAGACTCTCAACCCTTGAACTTTAGGTTTTGCCCTTTGAACTCTGGACTTGTCTTTGCCCTCTGGACTGGCAAGAGATTTTCCTTGAATAGCCTATTGGACCTTACTTGTGGTCATGCGAAGTTTCTGAGGAAGACTATTTAGAGCTTGGAAGCCTCAATAAAGACTTCTAACACCCATAGTGTATGTGTGTGTGAGAGAGAGGGGGGACGGGGACAGGACACACAGTTCAGATATTTTGCTTAGTACGTATCACAAAACAGCTATATATTATACTCAGAGGTGGCTCATAAGTCTAGTGTTATATATTTTATTTATTAGATGAGATGTGAATTATTCAGGGCCATACAGCAGAGTAATAGATTTGACAGGTCACCTGTACATGTACCCATGACAGCTTATAAGTATGGTGTCTATTCCACAATAGCATGCGGTCTAGGATGCAGATAGGCCAAGTTCAGGAATGTTTTTGATAAAAGACTTTCTAGATGTGAATCACTAGGCTAGAGTGACTAAAGCATTGTTCAAAATTGTTAGAAGAATCTCAGTGCTTTATCTAACATTTCATGTATTCCATTCTAAGAGGTAGAATTATGGGAACTCTAAATGTAGATTTGACATGTTGAAGAAAAGTTAACAATTATGGCAATGTAACAGGATTGTGTTCCACTCCTGACATCTTTGTGTAATCCTGTCAATAATGCCTATCTTTCCATCTGATGATCCAACAAAAAACGATAGTGAAATGGAGCTATTTTTATTTTCTACAAGTATGACTGTATCCTCTATGTAGTAAATTATTTCATTTATTACTATTAAAGCAACCACAGCATGTCCAGTACTATTGAATAGACATTGTTGCTCTTTGTAAAAATATGCCAGTTTATAGAGTGCACTAATGTTGAAGAAACCCATCATGGCATATAAAATAGAGCCAGTTTTAACTTTTAAAATAGGGAGACACATTCGCAAACAAAAGGCAAGAACTAACATCCATTCTTCTTATCAAAAGATACAGAGCTTTCCAGAGCATGTGGATAATGAACACAGGTAGTTCCTAAGGGAGTGTCTTCTGCTTATTCTAGCCCTAACTCTTGTTTGTAACATAACAACAGAAAGAAGGAAGATGGAAAATAGGACACCAAGTGGCCCTTCTCTACTCAGCATCTTAAAAGAACAAAATGGACGAGGATGATGTGCCCAATATGTTGAACAATCACATACTACTACTTTTTAACAAATGTCTTTCCTTTCCCTACCAACAATAAATACTGACATATGATTACTGAAATAAATGCAACGTAAGCACATTATTTAATCTATTCCAATTTAACACTTGGGAAAGAAGTTAATTTTTAGTTAATCTCAAATATTTCTTTGTTTGTTATCTTATCTATTCTGTGTTTATATATCCTGTCTACTTTCCCTCTTTCTTTCACTCTTAGCGTTTTTAAACTTATTTATATCCCTTAGCTAATGAATACCATTGTCTTTATTTGACTCTCCTTTGATCTTTCACAAATTGAATGTTTTGGTGCAATGAAGTGCTTTGAAACAACAGAAGAAGAGCCAAGTTCACTGCTCTCAAAGTACAATGGAGTTCTGACATGTAATCTTGTTTGACAATGCTATGTTCAGTAGTACTGGAGCAGGACACATTAAATCTTAGCAGTTTGCTCAGAAAGATGTCACCTTGGGACGGTGGGTTTCAAAAAAGGAAATAATGCACAGCACTCTTGTGATTGTTTTAGTTTCACACTCCTCTTCCCCAGAAAGATAGCTTATTACACTTCTTTGTTCTTTATCCGTTTTAGTAACTGTTGTTTTCTTTTCAATGATGCTGTAACTTCTCCCTTCTTGTCTGAAACTCCCACTTGTGAAAATAGCATTCTTAAAGCTTCACTTCATCCATATCAGATTCTCTGCTAGCTTAACAAATTGCTGCCCAGGCTATCATCCCATTGTATGTTCTGGTGGCCTTCCTACTGAATAGCAATTGCATCTTGATGACTTCCATTTATACTGCAGCAAGATGCTGCCCTTCTGATTAAGGGAGAGTCATAAGGGAACATTCTCAATTAAGGCCAATCAAACTAAATAGGGAAGCAACATGAACAGCATTGATATTGGGTAGCATACTGCCTGTTGTATATGATAGAAAGTAGACCCTTATTCCATAGTAGACAATTTATCTGTAAGCCGCCCTGAGTCTCTCGAGAGTGGGCGGCATACAAATCCTAATAAACCGTAAACCGTAATTATGGAGTTAATGAGCATGGCTACCTATTTAGTTTCTATTGGAGTCCATGAGAAGCACTATGTATTTCTATGACTCAAAGTTACTTCACATCAGGAAACGGAAGAAAGTGATCTCTGAAACCCCCAGAACAGATTTTGAGAGATGCAGGAAGCTTATATGGAGGAGTGTTATAGGAATGGATTTCCACTTGAATATGAAGGCATTCTGTTCAATCTACCCCAATCTATTTCTGGTGGATACATGGTGCATGGGTGCAAATAATGAACGACTTTGTTATATTCCC